CTGTCATGACCCACCTTAGATCTGGCCACCAGCTGAAGACCAACACATTGAAAGCTGCTCTCTACCGAGTCAAACCAATGGTCCATATAACTCAATATTTTCCACACTGGCTGGCAGCAGTGTTCTAGGGTGTCAGGCAGGGGTCTGTCCCAATCTTGTCTGGAGATGCCAGGGGTTGAATCTGACCTTCTGGATAGAAGGCAGATGCTGTCCCAATGAGCTATGTCCCGCCTTCTTCTAAGTTGTCCATCCAGTCAACTAAATTCTCACACAATCCACCTTTTCATGAAAATTCATCTGTAATAAATTTTCTAAAGTCAAACAGCAAGCAGCTTATAAATGCAGGCAATCAAATGCTTAGCGAGAGAAGGATTTATGGATTGTTGAATCTTGACTAAGATAAAAGAGATGGGCATGGGTGAGGTAAAAATACAATGCAAGGCCAGACAATCCTGATGGCAACTCCAGAGAAGATGGCCCACATGGGTGGCTTTTCTTCCTTCTGCAAAATTGTCTAAAGAGGATTAAATATACTGTACTACAGTATATAGGAATAGTAAGTCTATGCATGATGCTCAGCATCTACGACAAGAAATTTAAAAACAGTTCTAAATGCGGAAACTAGGGGGCAATATGACAAACACATTGCTGAGTTGGGGCAGAACGGGGATTCGGCAAAGGCAAGACAGAAATATTTTGAATAAATGAACTGAGTGATATGAAAACAGGGATTACATTGATGGTATTGATAGGCATGCAGTTTACAGCACAGGTACAGTAAGAGGGCCTTCTCTGCAGTGGCACCCACTCTCTGGAATGGTCTCTCCTGAGAAATAAGACACACGCCGACCAACAGTGGTACAATTCCAGCACATGTGGAAAACTTATTTATTTACTATCGCTTTTGCTGGCTGCTGATGGGTGAGCTGTTCCGGAATTTCAAGGATTTTTTTTATTCTCCGTCTGATTGTTTATTTTACTGCATTTTAAATTGCATTTGTATTTTTTATGTATATATTATCGTACACCGCCTTTGGTGCCCAGGTAACAGGAAGTGTCTAAATATTGTAATTGACAAACGTGAGCGATGTATGCCTCTGGTGAGGGTGTTGTTGCCATCGCTGTGGCAACGTTGGCAGGAAATTTAGAAAAAAGCAAGTTACAGCTCAGGAAACTACCACTTTGCCTTCTGACTTCTGTTCCTCGGAGGTGGTGCTATGGCAGTGGTGGAACAGATGCATGGGCATGGTGGAAAGACCATTCTGAATAAGCATCGCCTTAACCTCAGTAGGTGTGATAAATTCCATAAAGCGAGGGGGGACTTGTCCCTGCATCTCCTGTGCAGACTCTTTTATTTCCTGAGAATGTTCATGAACCGTCTAGAACATCAACAGTTTGGCCAGTGAGAAAATAAATACAGGTCATTTTAAAAAGTGAAGCCAGACTGCTTATGGCTAGTAACTAAGAAAATTTCAAAGACTGCAGTTCCCCGCCCCTACTTTCCATTTCTGTATTTTTTAAAAATTATTATTTGTTTAAAAGGGAAAAACTATATTCCTGTAAACTTTCCAAGTTCTTTGCTTTGCATTTATGCCTTATTTGTACCTCACTGAGTGAGGGCCGTAACAGGCTGGCTTCGACTTCACTTCTGAGATATATAATTAATGGCAAGATTAGTGTGTAAACTGTACGCACACCGAATTTACCCTTTGTCCTGAGATAGTCATTAAGGATCATGGGGGATAGGGGTGAAGGTCAGCAATTTTGAGGTTTTGTGTCAGCTGCTGCAGAGCTTAAGCAAGGAAATTATGGGTAGGATGCATCAACACCCCTACTGATCACCAGTGTTCACATTGAGAGTCATCTGAGCACAGAATCATGGAATTGTAGAGTCAGGAGCAGGTTAGGCAAGTGAGGAGACACTTGGAAGATGTGGCAGTGAAAGTGACCCCTGGATCAATGGTGAGGGCCAGTGGAGAAACAGTGCAGCAGCATATGTGCTATAAATGTTATTCCGTTTGTGTTTGCGGGTACAAAACCTGATGCCTGAGGCAGATGGCTGAGACGAGGTGACTTAGGCCAATCAAAGAAACACTCTACCTTCTGACCTCAATTAACTGAAATATTTCAACATTTAGTTGCCCTGCCGCATATAGTAAAAATGTCAGGCATGGTCAACCTAGGTTGATCTTGGTTTCTGTTCTGTTTCTTTCCTTAGAAAAAAAAGAACTAGTAATATCCCTCTCCCCTAAATACAAATTATTTTTAATTAAATCAGACTTGGACAGGCTAGTGCTGCAACTGTATTAAGGGTCAGAAAATACTAATTTAACTTTTTAAAAAAGTAGTTAAATGTCTTTTTTAATGTCCTTTTTTTAAAAAACAAAAAGACCTCTGGAAAGGTCTGCTGGCCAAGAATTAAAAATAGCCCCAAGGTGGCGGGCAACTTTTCCTTCCTTTCTAAAGTGGTATGAGCTGGCAACTCTCCATTCCCTCCATATCTGCAAGACTGGCCAGAATCTTATCCACAAGGACTTTTGTTGTTTTCATTTTCGAAAGGAGACAAAGGGCAATATAAAACTTGAACAAAACCAATCCTCTTCCTTCGCACACGTAAGATTTCTGGTGTTTGCATTATCCAGTGGAAAAGCAGGTCATGATGATATTGTTACCCTACAAAGGAGGGTTTTAATTTCGCTGGTTCTCCAAGCCAAAATACTGTTTTGGGTTTTTTTGCTTACTGCAAACTATATGCAGGGGTCAGCAAACTTTTTCAGCAGGGGGCCGGTCCACTGCCCCTCAGACGTTGTGGGGGGCCGGACTATTTTTTTTTTGGGGGGGGGAGAACAAATTCCTATGCCCCACAAATAACCGAGATGCATTTTAAATAAAAGGACACATTCTACTCATGTAAAAACATGCTGATTCCTGGACCATCCGTGGGCCGGATTTAGAAGGAGATTGGGTCAGATCCGGCTCCCAGGCCTTGGTTTGCCTACCCATGCTATATGTGTGTGAAGGGAGAGCATATATATAATGAAGAGCGGTGTGTGTGTGTGTTTATGTGTGTGATGAGTGATACATGATTATTTATCACAGCCACAAAATGGCCGTTGTGGGGCTGCATAGGCCAAACCAGTGTCATCTGGAACCGATCAGGAAGAGCACACCGTTTCTCACACATTGTGGAGTTTTGAGGGGATATTTAGAGGCCTTTCACAGGTACCATAGAAGTTACTGGTGGACATACTGGCACTGCCATCAGCAACCCCTGCCTTAAAAACAACATATTTGTTGTTCAAAAGTATCTTTCCCTGAGGCATTTTTTACGAGATGAAAGTTGCTGCTCTCTGTTGTGGTTATGGGTCCGGTTTTAGGTGCCTTCCTAATGTTTTAGGGTTGTTTTGCCAGCTTGAGGGCCTGTATGAGGTTGAAGGATAGAACAGAAACTTTTAAAAAAATATAAATAAAACCCTCCAAGGTAGGCCAGTATTACTATTTTCACATTGAAGATCAGAAGCTCTATTTGACAAATCGGGTGCCAACTGAATACCACCTAATGATTTCACAGTTGAGGAGGGACTGGGAAGTTGGGAACTCTGTTTATGGCTCACACTCTTAGCCATTACGTTTGAAGATCATATATGCTACCTCCATCTACTTATTATATGGGAACTGGATAGGAAAGATGCAAAACACACTTTTGCAATAACTCAAAAATAGGTTTCAAGCGAAAGCTGGGAGTTAAAATGCAGTTAGAAAAGTTACTCACCTGTAAAGGACTGTAGCCTTAGTTTGAAAAATAGGCTCATATTGTTAGACATTCAGTGCAGAGGTCTGACTAAAAAAAAGGACCTGGTTGCATTAAACATACTGTATAAATCCCTGGCATTAAATCAAGCCTTCACGACACCTTGCCTTGCAACTAGTCAGTTTAGGCTGCCCTGCTAACCTTCTATTGAACATTAGATCACAACGTGGCAATGGAATGAGTTTTCTTGCTCATCAAAGGAATTCACAGGCCAGTAGATAACCTGGACAGTACTGCAGACATATTCATTTCAACATTTGTAGACGGCTTGTCCCTGCTAGCCTTCCTGAGGGCAGCTCTGCAGCCTATTAATTTTTTGTTCAAATTGCAACTGATAGGAAGAAAATGTCACACCAGCAGCAGTCAAAAACAATGCAAAACGTTGCAATAAAACAGTAACATTAAGCGTTGCAAATTATAAGTATTAGCTCAAAGCAGCTAACGACCAGAGGTTAAAAATAGGATGAGAATAGCAGGAGTTAAACACTCTGCCCTGCATCTTCCATGTGGCAGTGTGGCACGTCAAAATGCAATGCCAGCGTAATCAGCACGGAAAATCCAGGGGCAGAAATCTCGTGCATGTGGCAGAAGCATTTTTCCTTCCCCAAAACTGCGCCCAGTGCCTGACACGTGTCTTGCCTCATTTCTCCCTCCCTTGGCCCCTCGTTTCTCCTTCCTCATGCTGCCTACAGGTGCTACTGCCGCTACTTCACCGCCCCGCTTCTCTTCAGCCAATCTGACCCATGATCCCTATGCATGACCGGCAAGGACTTCCTCTCCCTTTTAATTACAGCTATTAATTTGCTTTAATTGCCCAGGAACCCCATCGTGGCTCAAGGGCTCGCAGCATTTGATCAACACGGGCCCCCCCCCGCCGCATTTTAAATTATTGGAAGGCATTTTTGGTTACGCATTTTCAAAAGTTAAAGATGTGCCATTTCACCCGGTGCTTTCGCCTACCCCCGAAGCCTTTTTGGGGGGCCGTTGTTAATCCTATTTTGTACAAAGTCCGCGTCGTGCTCAGGATCCTAATTCCGCAGGGAAGGGGGCGTTGGTGAACAAAAAGGAAACTGAGGTTCCCTCCGCAAAAATAAAAAATAAAAAGAGCCAGAAGGAACTCCCCCCCCCCGCCCCGCGGGAAGCTAAATTTAAAACACACGCGCGCACTCACACAGCGCGCAACCCCTGGGCGTGTCAAGAAAGGAAGGAGTCGGCATTGCAACGAGGGCAGCCGCCGCCGCGGATCTGCGCGTCCCTCTCTCCCGGTGGGTGTTTGAAGAGGGCGCCTCCAAGTCAGTTAACTCCTGACGTTTGGGGATCATGTGAATGGTTGAGTTCCCATGGTTCCGTGTGAGTTCGCCTTGCCCCACCCCATCGCTGCCTCTCTCGCCTTTCCCTTCCTCTGTCGAATGCAACAGTAAAATAACAACAACAACAATCGCAATCCTAATAATAATAATAAATGCAAGGGGAGGGAGATAAAATGGGGGAGGCAATAAAAAGAGAGGAGGAGGGAAGGAAGTAAATAAAAGCTCCTCATCGGGAGAGTTATTTTCGGTTACTGGGGAGGAGATCCCACTTGCTTCCCCCCCCCCTCTCGTTTCTCCTCCCTTCCCTTTGCTCCCCACGTTTGCAAGGGGAAGCCAAAGGGGATTCGGCAGTCTGGAAACCGAACGTGAAAAGCGGGGAGGAAAGAGAGCGGGGAGGGAGAGAGAAAGAGAGCAGCGCAAGCGAGAGAGGGAGGGAAAAAACGAAGAGGGCCTCGGATCTCGGCAACCACCATTAAGGCGGAGGAAGAAGCGACAACAGCGGCCGCCGCGGAATATCGAGGGGGAAAGGAGGGGAGAGAGATACTATTTCCCTCTCTCTCCCCGCAACCCAGCCCAGGAAAGGAAAGCGGGGACTCGTTTGGCCAGCCAGCAGCCGAAGGGTTGGCTTTGACCCCCTTCGGGCGCTGCGCCCTTTTTTGGAGAGGGAGGCGGCGCGCGCGCGCGTTGCAAAAGGAGAAGGCAGGAAGAAGAGCGAGCGAGGAAGGCGAAAGAAGAAGAAGAAAAAAGAAGACGAAAAAGAAGCAAAGGGAGAGGGAGGGACGGGAGGGGAAAGAAGAAGAAGAAAAAAGAGGAGCGAGGAAGAGAGACAATTCTAGATTTTCTCCGTGCCCAGGATTTGGGGAGGTTTCTCTGCTGGGAAGCTGCTCTGCTGTCGCCGCCGCCGCCGCCTTGGACCTGGAGGATTATATATATAATATATATATAGAAACAGAGACGTCTCTTAATATTCGCATTTCGCCCTCCCCCACCATTGGAGGTGGCGTGGAAGCTGGAAATATTTTTTTAAAGACCCAATTATTGTTATTATTTTACTGCTGCAGGGGTTGGAAAAGGGGGGGAGGAAGAAGGAGGCAGCTTTTTTAACCCGTGATCCTGCGGAGAATTTCTCTTCTCCCCCCCCCCTTTTTTTCTTTTTTCGTGACTGCCAATCTCCCTCCGTTCCCTACACCCCCGTCTTCTTCTATTCCTACCCCCCCCCTTTTCCTTTTTCTCCGGATCTGCATTGCGAGAGGATCTGGTCGAGGTGTGGGGGAGAAAAGAGGTTGGAGGCCCGGCTTGAGCAGTAGCAAAGTCATCGCTCTCTTCCCCCCCCAACCCCTCCCCTCCTCCCCCCCCCAACCAACCCCGTAGTAGGCTCCGCACTCCGCTCCCTCCATGTCTTTAGACAGCGGCAGCTGCGAGTAAAAGAATAAAAAAGGGGGGGAAGGAGAGAGGCTCCCCCCCCCGAGATACACACAGCCGCCTTCTCTCCAGCGAGACCCGGTTGCTTCCTGCCCCACTCCCTTTTCCTCTCTCTCTGTCTCTCGGCTGCGGGTGCCCCTTCCTTTGCGCCCCCCAACCCCCGGCCTTTCCTCCCCACCCCCACCCCTTCCCTTTCCCCCCCTTTCCATTCCGCCCCCCCCCCAAGATGGGCTGCTTAGGGAACAGCAAGACTGAGGACCAGCGCAACGAGGAGAAGGCGCAGCGGGAGGCCAACAAGAAAATCGAGAAGCAGCTGCAGAAGGACAAGCAGGTCTATAGGGCCACGCACCGGCTCCTCTTGCTGGGTAAGGGCGGCCGGGGGCAGCGGGGAGGAGGGCGTCTCTCTTTGGGGTGGGGGTTGAGGAGGCCAAGCGCGCCCCCCCCTCCGCATACACGGGGGCGCGGGAGGGAGCGGAAAGGAAGCGCGGGCGCCTTTCTCGAGGCCCGGGTCTCCCTGGGTAACGGGTGGCAATAACGGGGCCCAGCAGTGACTGGGCAGCAGGAGGGAGAGGTGGGGCCCTGCCTGCCAGGCCGCCTGCTCGCTCGCTCGCCTGCCTGCCTGCCTGCCTTCCCCGCGGGCTTCTCGGCGAAGCTCCCCCGGCTTGGCAGGAAGGGAAAAGGAAGCGGGTCTCCAGGGGTTGGCGGCGAGGGGAAAGGGGCCTGGGAGAAAGTAGGCCTCGGGCCCTCAGCCGCTGGCTGCTCGTACTGCAGCCACGCTTGCGGGGTGTGTTTTTAACGGGGAGGGGTGTTTTTGTTTTTGGCAGGGGGTGACAGCTCGGGGGAGGGGAGCCAGCTAGGCACTCGAAAGGGTCCGGATCCCTTCCGTTCCCAACACGTCGTTTTCACACGTTTCATGGACACGGGTGTGTTCCTTGGCCAGCAGGGAAACCCCTTGAGGTGGATGACAACGCTGGTTGGCCCTTTTCCTCTAAACCTCCCTCCCCCCCCCACTGCTTGGGACCCCCCAAAGTGGATAAGTTGTAACTGGTAGCTCACCCTACTCCTAGGATTTACCTTATTATTATTATTAAGGTGACAGAATATTATTATTATTATTATTATTATTATTATTAAGGTGACAGACAGAAACATACATTTCCCTTTTTAGACTGGCTTGCCCCCCAAAAAAACATGGCTCACCACCTCCTGTTTCTGCTCTCCCCCCTCCCCACCTTGTACTTCATAGGTAACTGCTGCATGGAGAAGAGGGCACAAACCACTGTTGAAAAGACACTCTGGTCTTTTCAAACTGTTACTGGTTGAGGCGGCTGTCAGTGATGTTTTAAGTGGAATGTCACTTTCATAGAATGTAATGTCGGGGCCTGTACAGGTAGAGAGTTTTTTGGGGGGTGGGGGGCTGCAGGCCACAGGATGCTCAGCACTTCAGTTAAGGTGGTCGCAGTCGCTGCGTGTGGGCCCTCGGTGGGGGCACTGAAGTGGATGATAGTAGCGAATGGGGGACAGGGAGTATGAAAAGAATCCAGCCTCACCCTTTTCCCCGTTTGGGAACGCTATACATGCACAAATCCTTACAGGAAGTGTGTGGAGGTGAGTGGGGCTTTGCAGTATTCTGTTGTGCTGGAGGTGGGGTGTATTCTGGATAAATGGGGTGGTGGTGGGCTAAGGTGCTTCTCTGGGGACCTGGAAGGAAAGGGGGCTTAATGTGGACTCGGAAAAGGAGGCTTTTAAAGGAAGCGGAAGGAAAGGTTTATTTTTAATACTGTGATGGACTTGCGTCCTTCCCTTTGTCACATTTAATCTTATCATTAACATTGGGGAAATACGGCTGGGGAATGAGCGTTTTTGACTCCATATAGATTAATACCAAATGCTGGCCTATTTGTTTGGTGTGTTTTTTCCAGCAGATACACACTTGGTTTAAAACATTTCCCAAAGACCTCAAGCTAACATAAAATGAATATTCTGTTTTCAGACACGCAGTTTGTGTGACATTGTAGTTTCTAATGGTACTGGAGTATTGCTTTTGAATGGCCTATAATTTTTTAGAGGCGAACCTAGTTTGCTATGATCCATATTTTTAGGTGGTGTTGGTGATTGGAATAGTGAACATGGGACTCAGTGAGCTGTTGAGTGAAGAGAGCCTTTAAGTCATTGATTTTAAGAAAGGAAGAGGTCTAAAATACAAGTTGAATAATTATAGCAACATTTTCTGCATTGAAGTGAGTATCCAGGTCCCTTCTGGCACATAAATTTGAGGAAAATACCTGATTTAATGTTTGCCCGATGCATGTGTGCGATCTTAAGAATGCATAGTTGGAAGTAAATCTGTTTAAATCAGTTGTGCTCAATCCCATGTAACTTGTATTTAAAACTGTTGTGGAAATCAGTTTTGCAGCTTAAATATCCAGAACAGAAGCTTATAAGACATTTATATGCATTTGTTTAAGCTTCGAGTAGTTAGAAAATAGCTTGGCTCTTCATAATTAAAATATGGGTTCCTTATGTGTCTTAAATTTGATTTGCCCAGATGTGGTGGCTTAAAAACTGTAGTTACATGCAGTCCTTAAGTCATACAGAGAATGACAAGAAATCTGTGGTGTAGTAGTGTAAGTACTATAAAATCCAGAAATGAAAGCACAAGTGCACAGTACTAGCAATAATGTGTTATGTGGTGAACATGTTAAGAATAATGCAATGGAAAAAACACATTTCATCTTAAAAGCTTGTTCATAGGACTTTTAGAAGTCCTTAGTGTGGTTTCTCAAATCATGTATGCATTTGACTGACATATCAGTGATAACTGTTTAGTGTGTTTTTTTAAATGAAAAACACAGTATGAGAGAAAATACAATAGTTATAGATAGCTGCTGGGAATTTCAGGAATAGGGTAGGAATTTAAATTGGTATTTGCTTAAGTCTTGCGGGGTTGATAGTTTTAGCTGTCCCCTGCATCTTCATGGTGGAAGGTCGGGGAAAACACCCTCACTTTTGATGAGCTCTCTTTATGCTTGGTATGATAGATTTTTGTTTATTTTTGACCTATTACAGCTCTGTGACTGGTGAGTGCTATATGCAGTTATTTATCTGTCCTGGTGAAATCTTTCTGAACCTGTTTTCCACCAATATTTATAAAGAATGGGGTGGGAGTGAAGATTTCATGTCTGGCATTAAAATGTTCAGAGGTTAAGTAGTTTTAATAGTGTGTTGGAGTGAAGGAAGGAGTTAGGTTGCTGTGGAATTTGAAAACACGAAAGAGAAGGGAGACAGGATAGGCTTCCCCAGAAAAATATACTTTGATATATAGCTGCTAAAATTTAGTTTTGTGTACGAGACTCAAAATGGAGGCTTGTGCTGTCATTGAGTACCGGGGAAAGCCTGGCATTGAAGAAACACAAATGATGCCTTCATGATCCCTGCTTTGCTTAGGTCTCCTAAATTTCTCTCTTTTCTGGGGCTTGTGAGAGCTGTATATGGAAATAAACTACCCAAAGATGCTAGAGCATCTGTGTGTCTGCATCACCATGGTAGGACTTGATTTCCTGCAAAGGGGGAAGAGAAAACGCCAGCTTTTATATAGAAATATTGAAAGCTAGTGGCTGGAGTGCCTGAATATCTCAGTCAGATTTCATGGTTCAAGCCCTTCACTGTGCAGACTGAGTGGGTGCAACATGCCGACTGGATGGGGAGAAAAGGGGCTTTCTTGTGTGTGGAGTGGGAGAAAAGAGAAGGGTTAGTTGTAGGGTGCAGAATGAAGGACGTCTTCTCATGGGAGTGAACAAGATGGTATTTTCAAAATGCAGACTTGATGTGCAGCTTGGTGGGTATGTGCGTGGGGTGTAGAGCATGTGGAGGTGATGGGAAGCTGCTTCCAGGATGCCGATGAGAGGTGGGGAGCAGGAGGGGGCTCTTAGGCATCGCTGTAGCAGAATGGTGGCAGGGGTTCTCCTTTCTCAAATGGCACCATGTTCTCTGTTTCAGTGTGTTGAACTGGCTGATGGTGTGATTAAAGACATCGGGGTTTTACAGACACAATTGGCTTTGCTCCTTTCTCTCCCCCCCCCCCCCACTTTGAAGTAGTCGTTGTTTGAGGCAACTCCCGTTTCCCTTCAGAATACTAAACTTGCCTCTGCCTTAGTTTCCCCATTCTGCTTGTTTGATGTAGACAACTGGGGGAAAAATGGATAGTGAAATATTTCATGCTTCAGCTCCGACACATGACTTCAGCTGGACATTTATTTTTAGCTGCAGCTACAGTTTCCAGTGGCAATTACTGCTTTTTTTCCTTTCAGTTTTCAGTCTTGCGGTGAGTAACCTAGGTTCATGGATTTTGCCTCTTGAAGCGACTCATGTGCCCCAGAATTTATTCTACTTCCTTCTGAAATTGATTTACTTTTTTTTGTTTTTAGGTGCTGGTGAATCTGGTAAAAGCACAATTGTCAAACAAATGCGGATCTTGCATGTGAACGGATTTAATGCAGAGTAAGTGCATCTATATTCCTACCACATTATTTGAAGTTATGTGCATGATTGATTATAAGTATATTTGTGAGTTCTGGTGTAATTGAATGTGGCTCCTTGAGGATTTATTGTCTTTATAGGGGGAAAGGGTAGTGTTTAGTTTGAGAGTATGGTGATTGAACTTTTCAAATATGTGAGGGAGCCTGCTCTTAACTGATTGCATCAAGGTTTCATTTGTCAGGCTTTATGAAGGCGAAGTTTTGCTGCAGTTTCTCTCACAATATGGCTGACATCTAACTTCTTCTGTAGTAGGCTCAGTGTTTTCTTTCAAAGTAAACTGAATGCACTTTATGAAGAAGTATTAAGGGTTGCTTCAGGAAATTGATTACATACTGGTTTTATGTTTAAGGCCACTGACAGACTTTTATGATTGCTGTTTTGGTTTCCAGATTTGAGATAAAATAAGGAGCTTTTGGTTCTCTCTCTGTTTCATTGTCACTTTGGATGGGCCAAGCATTGACTATATTGTTCCCTGTCAAGCAAAACCTATTCAACTTAAGAATTATTTAGTTAATATCCTGGTTTGACATTCCATTGTTTGTAGAGAAAGATGTATGACCCAGTCTTAAGTACATATTTCTTAATTGGAATTTCAAGGCTTACTATCTTTTTTCAGAATTCTACTATCATTACAGTATTCCACAATAATACCCCAAGTCACTTTTTGGGGTAGTATCTGGGCAGGACCCAAATATCTGCTCCCATCTGGGACAAAAGGTACTGCATAGCAAAATAGTCTTGAAACTGAAGTGGTGCAGACAATTGAAAAACAGTTTTGGACTTCCATGGTAGTTCCTTGCTTTCTCTACCCCCTTCCCCAGTACTCAGCTTCTGAACAAGGTGGTTCTTTTTAGCTAATCATCATTGAGATATTTGCCTGTGAATTTGTCTAATTCCCTTTTAAGGTAAGCTAATTGGCAACCTCTCATCTATATTGTGGCAGCAATTCCATAAATCTATTGTGTGTTTGTGAAGAAGTACTTCTATCTACCCTGAATCAATGCCCAGTTTGTTTTGGTCACTCCTAGTTAGGGAAGAGGGAGAGAGAAAATAAATGTCAATACAATTGTTTATCATATTCTCCCTACCCGCCCCCCCCCCAGTGTTGAAATCCCCAAATGCTCTCACTTTTTTGTTGCCAGGAAGGTGCTCTTGATTGCATTGCATCTTTTCTGACTTCTATTTCCTTCTAGAAGAATGAGTGATCAGAATGGAACATAATATTCCAAATCACTGTAGATTTATAGGCTAATAAAGGCTTTAGCATAGTCACAGTCTTATTTTCATTCTCTTTTCTAATCAACCCCATCCTGGAATTCATCTTTTTCACTAGTGCTACAAGTATTCAGCGCTGTAGCTTCACATCCCCCCCAGTTAGTGGCTCGTAGAAAAACAGTAGTAACTATTGTGTAATTTATAACAGATTCATTGGGGTAGCCTTGTGAAAAATATTGGACCTGGGTCCACCTGTTAGTTCAGAAGAAAAATGTACTACCTACACACCAGTGTGGAAAGACTTCATCAGTCACGAGATTTTGATATGTAGCTCTTCTGCTTTTGGTTCATACTTGGTTGCCTTCAATAATCTGATTTGTTTTATAATAAGGAAGTTTTGAACATTTATTTCTATTTCAGAAATAATTTTGTTTGAGAATTCAGCAAAGGCAGCCTGAAGTCCTAGCATATGTATTGGCATCCATCTGTCTCAAGAGACAGTGGAGTGCGCCTCTGGGGCTGAAGTCACCGAAGTGAACTCCCCGGGGCATAAGTCTGGGCAGTGTGTATGGAGGTCCTAGACTGCCCAGGCGACAAGACCCTCCTCTCGGCCTTGCTGATGTGGTCCAAAGGAAAGCAGAGGAATACTTTTGGCAACAGGAGCTGCTGGAAGAAGTGTACAAGGCACCATCCAACGGCTTTAGGGACTCCATTTCAGATTTGTTTAGGCTTTACTCCTTAGCCTTTTCTTCTGCCAAAGATGTCCCATAAGGCACTGGAGGTTTAGGATCAGAGTTTTCCTTCTAGATGAGCTACCATCCCAGGTTGATGAACCCCATCTGCCCTTCACTCTACAGCATCTGTATGTCTTGGTAAACATTGGTTAGGACAGCGTGAATGAGTAGGAGTGAATCATAGTGAGCTTTGGTTTTCCTCACTTCTTCTCCCATTCATCCAGGAGAACTAGTTCACATACTTTTGCGTCAGCTTTTGATTATTTTCTACTGCTATATTATAACAGACAAAATGTAAAACCATTTGCCAGTGCTGACCATGTTATCTGGACCTGGAACTGTGGTTGAGCTTAACCATGGTTAGTTTTTACAAGCCATCTTCAGTAACTGTGATTTCAATTTAATGTTACCCGCAGTTTGCCAGTTCAGACCACACAACAAACTTTGGTTAAGTAAAAAGGAGAACCTGAGGCATACTGCGGCTTGTTCCTCTTCATTCATGTTGCTCTAAACCAGGGATGGCCAACAGGTAGATCGCAGTCTCTTGGAAGTTGGACAAGCCTGCTCTAAACAAACCCTAACTGGAGATGGCGGGAATTGAATTTCTGTTGTATGCCATCTTTTGAAGGCTTGCTGTAAAAGGATAGGTAGAAAACGTAATAAAAGAAAATAAATAATAAATTAACAATAAAATATTGCTTAACTGAAACTCATTTAGAAGTATGTCACTATGGACAAGTAAGAGGCTCTCTCGCATGTTCAGAAAAGTTACGCAGTCCTCAATACTTACCTATTATCACTTGGATAATAGGATTTTAATGTAGTATAGATTTAGTGTACATATGTTAGTTCAATGTATTATTTGTAGTGTTTCAGTTACAGCTGGTTCTTGGACCTTAACAAGCTGCTCCAAAATTTAGCCAGTTAGTGCTAATTGAAAGTTAGCCCACCAAAAATGTACTACCGTTTCTGTACTTAGCCATATGTGATGCGGTGCCTTGATGTATGTGTACATGATAGAGTGAGAGGTTGGTGGAATGATAGTAGGAAGCCGTATGTCATATTACTTGACTTTTGGACCCTTAAAATGTTGGGGAAAGAAACTTCAGAATTGGTTTCCTCATAGTAGAAATCAGAGTTAGTGTATGTTAGTGAACAGTTTGGGCTTTTGGTGCAACTTGAGAGGAATGGGATAATAAAACTGGGGAGCGAAATCTGAGAATATGCCTCACAATGTTCTTGTTTAGATCCGGTACGTGGAACAACATTGTTAAGCGGATGCCATGTTTGATGATGGATCATGAAGACAATGGAAATTACTGTGGTCTCTTAGTTTAGGATCTAGATTCCTTCCCCTTGTCATTGGAGAATCTATGGCTCTTGATCAGCTTACTCAGTGTACACTCCTATACATTTAGGCGGCTTCACGGAAGTGGGATTTAAGCAATCTGTGTTCAGAATGGCATCCTTGGTTCCCCAAAAAAGCCTTAGTGAGAACTCTGAATAGAAATATAACAACAATAATGAAATAAACTGCCAGGGTGTCTGTTCCTATGCCAGGGTGTTTGAAAGCCTAAATTAGTGTTTTCTTTTAACTAGAATGTAGCTGTTGCTTAAGTATCCAAGCTTCAAAAATTATTATTCCAGTGTGCTTTATCCTAGGTTCATATAAGTGGTAAGGCTGGGCAATATCTGGTTTTCAATATTGTGATATATCATCAGCTAAATATCATGATGTCTAGATATATCACGATATCTGAAATATAGAAGGAACTATGCAAAGGCAAACAGGACAATGTCCCGGCAACTGCTACTACTAAAGGGTCTAAAACTGAGAAATGATGATAATATCAATCACCTCATGGTCACTTTCATCAGCAGGCAAGCCAAAATGCATCCAAACAAGAGTTTTGGTTTGGGGCTTCGCTACCTAATGGTGGTATTCAGGACAGTCCAAAGTATGGCGATGAGTATTATGTTTAGCTGGTAATAACATTGCAATGTTTAGCTAGTGATATATCACGATGTTGAAAACCAGATATTGCCTAGCCCTCACACACATTGTGATTAACAATATTTTGCGAGGTCAAATATTATGAAACAGTTATCACGGTGTGAACTTCAAACAGGTTTTGGACAATATATTGATATATCGCCCAGCCCTAATAAGTAGTCCTTAAAGACTGTTCACATTCAATTGATCTCATGACAATTCCAAAGGGTAGGATCCCCTGCATTATACATAAAAGGCTGGGGAATTAGTGCCTTTTCTATATCTGTATTTAATACCCTAATGTCTTGCTGGTTTTTGTTTTTGTTGTTTGTTTGTCAGTCCATAACAATTCATTTGACCCTTGTCTTGGATTTTGCTATTTATAGAAATGTTATTTGCAGATCAGCCCCCAAAGTAATCTGCATAGAAGGGGTATATCTAGCGATATTATGATCTTAGTTAGGGTTAGTGAACCAAAGTTTGGGCTATTGATACAAGGAAGGGCATGGTTTGCCTTTTAGAGACTCTGTCTAGATTCTGTCATGTTTCAAGTTGTCCATGACAATAGCTTTGATTGGGCTGTGGAGGAAGAACTGATGCATTCTTAAATGCCATTTGTTGGTTGCTGTTTGACATGGGTAGTCTGGAGAAAGTATGGCAATTTTTCCTTGCTTCAGTGTGATTCATTTGCAGTACTCAAAACCTACCCATTTTAGTCAGTGTTGCTCTTAAAGTAATTGAACAAAATGCATAGATTTCAGGATTAGATTTGAATATTTTTGCAGCTGTTTTTCAAAAGAGACCTAGGCATTTCACACCCAATTACAACTTGTGCTGGCATGATGTATGCAGAGGCACTTGCTAAGTTTAGCATCTTGCCTGATCAGTGGGCTGACCATTACATTTTTCCAAAACTTGTAAGTACCTGTAAAATTAGACTGTACCCTAACCTCTCAAAAAGCGTTCACCTCCCAGTTCTCACATGGCCCTACCAGTCTCTGCAATCTGCATACCTGTAGAGCCTGCCTCCTTCTCTTTTCTTGC